AACCTGTTTAGCAAGGTTTCTAATTCTGCGTTATGCATAGTGATGTTGCAATACTGCAAGGGGAAAGCACATTATGCTTGAGGATGTTACTGAAAATAAATCTGAGGAATAAAAGGAACTCTTCAAGTTGACTTGGGTGCTGTCCAAACTGGGAGCCTACAGCCTAGAAGTCTGCTGTTCTGAACCACTGCTGTTTCAGCTGGGCCTTAAGAAGGCTCAAAGGCTTTATCTCTTTTGATGAACACAATCCGTGGGGATTTCATTTTGTTCTCCACATTCAAACATATTTAACATTCTTCATACTTGGAATTGGCCCTTTCTCAAAACTATTACTCCTTAAAATATAATAGTTTTCAAAACTTTTTCAGTAATAATTGTTTTTCTAAATAAAATAGAGCTTGACATTTAAAAGAGAAAAGAACAGGTTTTCTCTGGTGAATGACTCACTTTTACCTCCTGTCTCCAAGTGAACTTCCATGGAGCAAATGTGAAAGCCTAGACCGATGCAAACAGCACAAAGCAAGGCGTGATAGCAGCAGACACTGAATGCTGTCCAATAACTGAGGTCAATTAAACAAAAATTTTTTTTACCATTTTTTGTGATAAACAGTAAAACTCCTAACAAGTTCAGGGTATAGAGGGATGACTTAGTAAGACCATATGCTGCACAAGTGCCAGATCCCAAAACCACAGAAAAAGCTGATCATGATCACACATGTGACTATAACCCAAAAGTTATGGGGTGCTGGCAGAGACAGAAGGATTTCTGGGGCTTGCTGGCCTCCAGCCCAGCTCCAGATTCAGTGAGAGACTTTGTCTCAAAGAATTAGGCAGAGAGTGATAGAGTAGGATACCCAACATCCTCCTATGGCCTCCACATGATCATACACAGATATGTACAAGTTTATTAGCATCTAACCTCTTTTACATGACCCCATGGCTCTGTTTCTCTGACTATTCACTTTAACATGAGGAATTTTGAGCAGTCTATGCTCCTTTGTGTAGAATAAAGTGAACAGAGCATGTTCCTTTGTGTGGGTCTGTGCTCTGCAGCATGTCCCTGTGATCTACTTTCCATAGAAAATTGCTATTACTATATGGCATATACTCTTTAAACATTATGTATCTATAACTATAATCTATCTATACACAAACACATGTGTGCATCACCATTTTTAAGCTTTTCCCATCTTTTTCTGTACCTGCACTGACACTTCATTATTTTAAAAATCAGCAATGACATTCCCTTCATATACTTTAATTTTAAAGTATTTTCATTCTAAGTGAGTTCAGCACATGCCTCCCTTCACTTTTGTTGCCATTTCATTCTGGGCCACCGCTCTATTGCCTCTGTACCCCAGGCTCCTTCTTCTGAATTATGTGATTTGATTTCTGCTATTCTCTCTGTTCCTTATGTCTACAGGCTATTTATTTCACAATAAGTATCACAACTGTCAAAATTGTTCTCAAATCTCCACTCTCATTGGTCCACATCTTTATTCTCAGTTCTACCCAGTAACATTGACTGAAGCTTTGCACAGTAGGGAAAGTAGTAATTTGAGAATTAGGTGCCTTGAATTTCACAGTTTGACTTCTGCAATTCACTTCAGCTTTAAAAATCACAGGTTTTATCCATGCATGGTGGCATATGTCTTTAATCCCAACACTCAGGAGGCAAAGGTAGGCAGATCTCTGTGAGATTGAGACCAGCCTGGTCTACACAGTGAGTTCCAAGTCAGCTAGGGCTATAGAGAGACTCTGTCTCAGATAGACAGATAGACAGATGATAGATAGATAGATAGATAGATAGATAGATAGATAGATGACAGATAGATGATAGATACATAGATACATTGATACATACATACATAGATGATACATAGATACACAGATGATAGACACATAGATGATAGGTAGATATTCGAATTTCTAACATGATTTAGAACTATTATAACCACATTTTGAATATACCAAGTGTAATAACTAACATCCAATTTTTTCCTAATTGTGAGATTAAGCATCAGTGGTATTATTGCCATATATTAATAATTAAATATTTTGTAGTTACAAATTGCAGCGAAATGATAGTCGTTTGTGGCAGGTTGACCTAAACCTTTGGCGCTGAAGTTGTACCATGTCAACAAAAATGAATTTTATTTCAATTCTTATTTTTTTTAACAATATAACTACTTTACCTAGGAAATGGCACTCAATTTCTACTGTATATTGAAAATATTTGTGAGCTTAAAAAAATACTAAGCTCACAAGGAGATTGTTCTCGGGAGTATTGAAGTAATTGGCCTAAGGCAGAACCTTGGCATTTCATTCTTTTAAAGCTATCAGATGTTAAGCTCTATAAATCTGCTGGATTCAAATCTCCATGTCTTGCACTGTCCCCATACTCATCCAGTCTAAAGCCTGTCTGGGTCTCTGCCATTACTGATCCTCTGTTCTTTCACTTCATTGCTTGGTTCAGAGACTGGGTAAGTCAGTCAGATCCTAACACCACCCATGCAACGTCGAGCTTTTCATCACTGATCACCAAAAAATGACTGACATTTGCTTCCTACTTTCACAACTTGTCAGGTGTGTTTTTCAGTCTTGGGTTTATGGAGGTCCATGCCTTGTACCCAGTGCTGAATTAGATCAAACCCTTTTAGCATCTTCTTCCTTCTAATATGTCAGCATATACAAGTCCCATGTAAACTCAGGCAGAAAATAACCCAGCACAGTACTGGGAAAATGAACATCAGACCTCAATCTTATCTGAAGGAATGTTGGCAATTGATGGCTGCTAGATGAAGAACAGCTGATCTTCCTAAAACTAGGGACTCTAGATAGGCTGACTAGACTCAGTGGATGGTCTTGCACTGGGAAACGGCTGGGGACACTGACAATCCAGTGTGCCTTAACAGGGATGACAGAGTATATGAGCTCTAGTGGAAGGGCTATGGGAGGATATCCAAGTGGGACAGGGATATAAAGATGATTAAAATTATTGAGATGTTGTGTATGAAATACACAAAAAAATCAATAAAATGAAAAAAAAGAAATACATTATTTTTTTGAAAAAGAAAGAATGAGATTTTTATGACAAAGACTGGTCATACATGTCAATAATCCCAGAATTCAGAGGGTAGAGGGAAGAGGATCATGAGTTCTGTGGTAGCCTGGGTTACACAGTGAGGAAGTGTGGGGGGGACTGTGTGGAGGTTTTGAGGAGAGAAATCCATACAACCTCTCAGAGAAGAAAGACATTAATATTTTTCCCTCCATCTCCTATTTCTATCCTATGAAATGGCTTTTGTCAGATTGGAACTGGGCAAAATGAATCAATGAGTCAAATCTCCATGAGGCACTAGCAATGTGTTGCTTTGTTTCATTTAATTCTGCCTTACTGGAATTTGGCTGTGTTTAAATGAACTTGATCAATTTCCAGTTTAGAGTGGACCACAGCCTTTCCTCCTGCTCAGCCGCCCACGTGTTCCTGTCTGAGAGACCATGAGATGACCTAAATCTAGGGCTTCTGCTTCATCCTTTTTGCTCAGGTGTTGGCATAAGTAAATGTCTTTGCTTCATTCTCAGCTGTCCAGGTCTTTAAGCGTTAAGCTAATTCTTCTGTTCAATTCTAGCTGCCGGTGTTTATAACTGAGCTGTGGCCCAATCAAAAACTGACAATGGAATGTGATATAGTTATGGAAGCTGAACTCTATACTGCTAACATAAGAGTTAGAATTACTGTGGCATCAGAAAATGCAAACTCTAGAAGCTGTAGCAGGACTGTCAGGGCTTCACAGTCAGCCAGAGCCACATAGTAGGAATTCCTCTCAAAACAAAACATTTACTTACCTTCTGACTGGATTAGGTCCCTGAGAGAGTGAGTTCTACCCCCAGCACTGAAAACAATAAAGAAATATTCTGAAACTGTTAGGGATTTGTTGTTGTTTTGTATTGTTTGGGTTTTAAATTTTTTACCTTATTTTTGTTTTTTGAGATAGAGTATCACTATATAGCACTGGCTGGCCTAGAAGTCACAGAGATAGATATGCCTTCTTCTGCCTCCTGAGTACTGGGATTAAAGGCATGTGCCACCATTCCTGACCATCAAACAGTTTTAAAGTATAACGTACACAGTGAAAAATCTATAGATTCAAAGTATAGTATACCTACTTTTGAAAAATACATGAACTTTTCAGGTAAAGTAACTGTGAATGTTGTATTTTATTGCTAATATGTATACAGATTTTTAAGGATAAAGAAAAATAAGCCATAACATAAACACCTATTTCAGTTTATGCAGAGTCACCAAGAATATGCATCAGAAAATCTTCTGACCTCTTTTATCTTCCGTTAAGATGTCCTTAAGCTTTTCCTCTTTGTCTTGTGACACCTTTCTCAGAGTCTTAGATGACTACCAATAGGTTTTAGGTGTCATTTGTAAATGAGACTTTGGATGTTTTAGATAATTTTAAATAAGCATATACAGATAAAAAGGGCAGAGTGTTTGGCTTGCTAAGGTTGGCCTTTTCTCTTAGCATCATTTTGATGCATCAGGTAACAATGTCAGTGTCAGGGGCGCATATAATTAACAATATGCAGAAACTTGGAAAGGAGGATAATAAAAACAGAAATTCCAATTATTACTGAATTTAAGTCAGTTAATCTTAATAATTTAAGTATATGAAGAAATGTATTAGTTGAAAGAAAAACAATACTATGTTCTTTGTGTAAAGTATTATTACTGGGGCTAGAACGATTGCTCAGTGGTTAAGAGCACTAGCTGCTCTTTCAGAGGACCCAGATTTGGTTCCCAGAACCCATATCGTGGCCAACACCAGTCTTAACTCCAGTTCCAGGGGATTTTATGTCCTTTTCTGTCCTCCATGAATATTGCACGCACATGGTCCACTTACATGAAGAAAAACATTCATACACATAAAATAAAAATAAATTTCAAAATTTTTAAAAAGAATAATTATTTCTGTTGTTATGTTTTATAGCCACAGTTTTTCTGGAGTTTTGGAAAAGGAGAAGAAGCATACTGACTTACACGTGGGATCTTATTGAATGGGAGGAAGAGGAGGTAAGATGTTAGGAAAACTGGGATATCTCATGAGGTCTAAAGCTACTCAGTACCCTACAGGAGACCAAAAGCAGATACACACATTAAATTTCTCTTTGATATTTTATACTAACAAGATTTTTTACTTCAATAGCATAATAGAGGTCAATGATGGCATATATAGTTTTAAAACCACTTTTATAATATTTTCTTAAAGTGCACCAGTGGAAGATTATACTGCTTAAAATATGGTTAGGGGTTGACTTGGACTGTGAATGTTTTTCTTTTAAAGGTTTCATCTTTGTGAAAACAACATAAAAGTTGGCTTAGTTTAAATGTTTTGTATTAATTCATGAAAGATTTTTTTAATATGTGGATTTGCTATTTAGGTAACCTTAGTTTCTCTCTTAGGAAAACCTTCGTCCTCAGTTTGAAGCAAAGTATTATAAGATGGAGGTGATAAATCCCATCACAGGGAAACCTGAGCCATATCAACCTTCATCCGACAAAGTCACTCGTCTTCTTGTGTCTGTCTCAGGAATATTCTTCATGGTAAAGTATAGTCATCACTATCAGAATGTCAGGTTCCAGATTTAGAAGAATAGTCTCCCATACCAACTCATTTTGTAACATTGATAATGCAAAAGGAAATTTCCTTTTTCAATGCATTCAATAAAGAACCTGGAGATTACAGCCAGTCTGAGATTTCATTAGGGAATTTGTGCATCTCTTTAAAATGAAGTCAAGGAGCCTATAAGTTGGTCTTATGATGTATCCCATTAAAACCAATTTCTCAACAGCCATGTGTGGTGGCATATAACCTTAATCCCAGCACTTGGATTATAAAGTATATATTCATATGTAGTGATAAAATCTAGCGAATTAAAAACATAGTATCTCAGGACTGGAGAGATGGCTCAGTAGTTGAGAGCACTGGCTGCTGTTGCAAAGGACCCAGGTTTGATTTCCAGCACCCACATGGTGTCTAACAACTGTCCATAGCTCCAGTTCCAGGGCATTTGACACCCTCTTCTGACCTCAGTGGGTATTATATGACATGGGTGCACTTACACACATACAGGTAATACACTCCTATGCATAGAATAAAAATAATAAACAAAATTTAAGAAAAACATAATACTTCATAAAGCTCTCATGGGTCAGCTTAAATCTTACACTGCTTTCTGACTCTAACTTACTTCCTTAACGGAGACAATGTAAGCTATATGTCCTTTCTCAGAAAGATCAAGACCTTTGAATTTTGGAGTATTTAATCTTTTGCTTTTGATTTGTTAGTAACGCTCAATATGGTATCTGGTCTCCACTGCAGATCTCCTTGGTCATCACAGCTGTGTTTGCAGTGGTCGTGTATCGCCTGGTTGTCATGGAGCAGTTTGCATCATTCAAGTGGAATTTTATCAAACAGCACTGGCAGTTTGCTACCTCTGCTGCTGCTGTCTGTATCAATTTCATTATCATCATGCTGTTGAATCTTGTAAGTGTTTACTGCATTATTTTTCAATAGGTACAAAGATGATAGGGAAAGAGCTGTTTCCTTTGAGGTTAAAAAAGATACATAATATAATTTGTATGTATATATATCCATATATATAATACATAATATAAATATATAATATA